AGTGACTCAGCTGTACGTATACATATATCCCCTCTTCTTCCCATTTAGGTCACCACAGAGCATAAGAGTTCCCCGTGCTATACAGAGGTTCTCATTAGTTATCTCATTTTACTCATAGCATCAGTAGTGTAAATGTGTCAATCCCGGTCTCCCAGTTCCTCCCACCACCACTTCCCCCTTGGTATCCATACGTTTGATCTCCACGTCTGTGTCTCTATTTCTGCTCTGCAAATAAGATCATCTATAATGTTTTTCTAGATTCCACATATATGTGTTAATATATGATATTTGCTTTTCTCTTTCTGACTTACTTCACTGTGTATGGCAGTCTCTAGGTCCATCCGCATCCCTACAAATGATCCATTTTCATTCCTTTCTATGGCTGAGTAATATTCCATTGTATATATGTACCACATCTTCTTTATCCATTCCTCTGTTGATGGACATTTAGGTTGCTTCCATGTCCTGGCTACTGTAAATAGTCCTGCAATGAACATTGGGGTGCATGTGTCTTTCTGAGTTCTGTTTTTCTCTGGGTATATGCTCGGGAGTGGGATTGCTGGATCATATGGTAGTTCTATTTTTAGTTTTTTAAGGAACCTCCATACTGTTCTCCATAGTGGCTGGACTAATTTACGTTCCCACCAACAGTGCAAGAGGGTTCCCTTTTCTCCACACCCTCTCCAGCATTTATTGTTTGTGGATTTTTTGATGATGGCCATTCTGACCAGTGTGAGGTCGTACCTCATTGTAGTTTTGAATTTCATTTCTCTAATATTTAGTGATGTTGAGCATCTTTTCATGTGTTTGTTGGCCGTCCTTTCTCTCTTTGAATAATGGCTGAGCAATGTGCCAAGACCCGGGGATACACTGATGGCCCAGACACCCAAGATCCCCTGACTTCAAATGTTCATCTCAGGGTCTCCAGCCCTAGTTGTCCCAGAGCCCAGCCTAGTGCCCGACCTTGGTACACATCTCTGGAACTAGATTGCACTGAGCATTAATCAAAGACCCACTTCACGTAGTGCTATGTAGATGCAGATCTGAGTTTCTCAGCCTCGCCACTGTCGGCATTTTGGGTGGGATGATTCTTTGCTGTAGGGGGCTGTCCTGTGCATTGTAGGATGTTTAGCAGCACCCCTGGCCTCTACCCACCAGTTTGCCAATAGCACGTCCCACCCCAGTTGTGTGACAACCAAAAATGTCTCCAGCCATTGCCAACTGTCCCCTGAGGGGCAAAATCATTGTCGTTGATGTAGGTTTAGTACTGACCTTCCAAAGGTGTGGTCTTAACCACATGACTCCGTTTTCTTTCGTAGATACCCGAGAGGTCTTTGTAAGAACGTGAGAGGCAAGAAAAAGAATATAAACTTTCTTTTTGTAGTAGCAGCTTTATCCGGCTGTGATTCACCTACCATAAAATTCATCCTTAAATTTTAAATTGTCCAATTCAGTGATTTTTATACATTCGCAGAGTTGTCCAACTATCACCGCTAGCTGATTTTAGAACATTTTCATCATCCTCAAGAGAAAACCTGTACCTATTAGCAATCATTCTTCATTTGCCCCTCCCCCAGCCCCTGGTAACCACCAATCTACTTTCTGTTGCTGTGGATCTGCCTAATCTGGATATTTTATATACATAGAATCATAACGTGGTCTTTCATGACTGGATTCTTTCACTTAGCATGTTTTCAAGGTCCGTTCATGTTGTAGCACGTATCAGAACATCATTGCTCTTTTAAGGCTAAATAATAGTACATTGTGTGAATACGGTACATTTTGTTTATCCGTTCTTCAGTTGATGGACATTTGGGTTATTTCCACCTTTTGGCTGTTGTTAATAATGCTGCTATGGAGAATTCCCTGGCAGTCCAGTGGTTAGGACTCAGCGCTTTCACTGCTCGGGCTCTGGGTTCAATCCCTGGTCGGCGACCTAGGATCCTGCAAGCCATGCAGTGTGCGCAAAAAATAAAATAAAATAAAAAACAGAAATAAAACATTTCACTGATGTATTATAATAAATAAATAAAATAAAATATGCACAAGCCAACTTGAATGGGCCTCTGTTAAAAAAAAGATAATGCTGCTATGAATTTTCATATACAAGTTTTGTGTAGGCGCATGTTTTCATTTCTGTTGCGCATATACCTAGGAGTATTTTAATTGTTACGCCATGTAGTAACTCTGTTTAGTATTTTGAGGAACTGCCAGACTGTTTACCAAAGGGTCTGCACCGTTTCACATTCCCACCAGTAGTTTATAAAAGCTCCAATTTCTCCACGTCCTTGCCAACATTTGGTATTTTCTTTTTGGTTATAGCTATCCTGGTGGGTGTAAAGGGTTATCTCATTGTGTTTTCGATTTGTATTTTCCTGATGACTAGTGATGTTGAGCTACTTTTCATGTGTACCTTTTCTGGAGAAATGTCTGATTATATCTTGTCCATTTTAAAATTGGGTTGTTTGTTTTTTATTGTTGAATTTTAAGAGTTCTTTATATATTCTGGATGCAAATCTCTTAGCAGAAATATGATTTGCAAATATTTTCTCCCATTCTGTGGGTGTCTTTCATTTTCATGCTGCTCTGATGCAGAAACGTTTTTAGTTTTGATGAAGCCTAGTTTACCTGTTTTTTCCTTTCATTCCTTGTGCTTTTGGCGTCATATCTAAGAAACCATTGCCAAATCCGAGGTCACAAAGATTTACTTCTCAATTTTTTCTAAGAGTTTATAGTTTTAGCTCTAAATATTTAGGTCTGTGATCCATTTTGAGAATCCAAATTATTCTTTTGCATGGGGATATCCATTTGTTGAAGGAACTTCTTTCCCCATGATCATGACACCCTTGTTAAAAATCAGTTGAACATAGCTGTATGGGTTTATTTCTGGACTCTTCAATTTGATTCCATTGGTCTGTATTTCTGTTATAGCTTTATTTTTATTTTTATGTTTGGCCGCATTGGGTCTTTGTTGTGGTGCATGGGCTTCTCACTGCAGTGGATTCTCTTGTTGCGGAGCATGGGCTCTAGGCGCGTGGGCTTCAGTAGTTGTGGCTTGCGTGCTCTAGAGCGCAGGCTCAGTAGTTGTGGCGCACGGGCTTTGTTGTTCCGCGGCATGTGGGATCTTCCCGAACCAGGGCTTGAACCCGTGTACCCTGCGTCAGCAGGTGGATTCTTAACCACTGTGCCACCAGGGAAGCTCTCTGTTATAACTTTTAAGTCACTGTTTCCTTACCATAGAAAGACGGTAGGAAAGTGCCTTTGATAAACAGAAGGGTGAAGGAATCAAGGTAACCTGCGTGGATGTGTGGTTAAAAAGTATATAAAATATCGATCACATTTTGGAATTAAAAGGGATCTTAGAGGTCATGTTAGTTTAAACCCTTTGTTTTGCTGATGGGGGATAAAAAGATTAACTTTCGACTTCAGAGGTTAACAAATCTGCCTAAAGATTTACGACTCATCAGTGGCAGAGCTGGGCAGAGCTGGGATTAGAACCCAAATCTCTTGATTTGGTAGGGCAATGTTTTTTCTTATTCTAGGCCCCAGGTCTGCCTGGACTTCCTTTACCAAACTAGTGAGGTTCTGTCTTCCCCTCCCTCACTTCTTGGTCCACAGAAGTGAATGGGGTGGTGGCTTGTGTCTGCTTTTTCCCTTAGAGCCTGAGAAAAAGAAAGCCAGCGCGAGGAAAGCATTTGGAAAATCTGAAGATTGCTATATAAATGCCACTAAATGATAAGATTACCAGCTTGATGGTCCTCTCCCAGGAAGGTTCAGCATGTCAGGGGCGGCATAATGAAAGGAAACTCTCCACTCCCAGACACGTTTTAAACTGCTGAGGTTGCTTGTTACTTTTCGATGGAGGCAGGGTGTAGGGAGCTGGAATTCCAGGGGAGTGAAGCCTCAAAGTGGGCTGGGTGTAGCCAGGTCTCAGGTGGGCCGGGCTGGCTGGGAAAGGTCTGGGGCGTGGTGCCTCGCCCACCCCTCAGGGACCCAGGTAGATGGAAGGGTTCCTCCTGGCTCGTGCACTCAGAATCGGGCGCCTGGCCCTGAAATGACAATGTCCGTTGGTGGTCCCTTGTGGCTCCTCAGAACATACCTGCGTGTCTGTTTCCCACTGACATTGGTATCACCTGTCCCACCCACAGAGGGAGTCCTGTTCCAAACCAGGTCGGGGAGCGATTTCCCCTAAATGCTGAGCCCCTAGAGGGCAGGAATTGTGTTCTCTTTACCTCTGTCTCTGCTGTGACTAATGCATGCTGAGTCCTCAGTAAACATATGGTTGGCTGTTGAAGAGAGGCGTTGGGTGAATAGGAGCTGCTCTTGGGGTACATGGGGCCCTTGCAGAGGGCATGGACCTCTCCAGCTACAGCAGCATCTCTGTGCCTCTCTCTTTCCTCCCTGCGTTTGTGATTGCTTCTTCCTCTAAGCTTCAGCTGCATTCACTGTCTGCACCATCCCTGTGTTCTGATATTCATCATTTTATCTGTATGTTCTGTCTTTGCAGCTAAATCACACCTTTCTTTGACAAGGGGAGCTCTCTTTTGTACTTATTTGGGTCACCCGTGTAGAGTACATGCTCCTCGGTGTGTGTCTTTCCATGGGGAAGTTGGTCCCCCTGATATTAGTCACCTGCCACTGAACTTGAGGCCAGTGGTGGCCGCCCTTCACTGAAGTGGCATTCCACGGGCCAGTTGCTGTCGTATCTGCTGGGCATACGGGCTTATTTGGGGAGCCATCGTTTTGAAAGGGCTCAGAGTTGATTGGTGTGAAATGAATGAAAGAAGGAAACCTTAATCACAGCCTTTTAGTGCCTGTGCCCCCAGGCATGGCAGCCTCTCCCCTGTATCCCCACTGAGACCAGCACCAGGTGATGCTGTGACTGTAACTGAATACTGGGTCTCCGTCCATCAAAGGGCCGATGATAAGTAGCCCAGCTTCCTTTGTGGTTGCACTCACCAGCTCGGTGGATCTCACTGTGTGGTCTCCTCCTCTTTCAGGGCTCTGGCTGACATCTTAAGACAACAGGGACCAATCCCCATAGCACACTGTGAAAGAGAAACTATCTCGGCTATCGATAGCTCTCCCAAAGAGAACACGCCGGTCAGATCATCCTCGAAAAACCACTACACTCCCGTGCGCACGGCCAAGCAGACTCCAGGTAAGTGAGAGCTGATCACCTAGCATCTTTGCTGAGGCTGGTGAGAAGTTTCGGTGGTGTTTCTGCTTCAGCTGGGCAGGAGCCGGTCCTGGAGCCCTGGGCAGGTGGCTTGCGGAAGAGTCTGGGGACTGTTCCCCTGCGGAGAGAGTGGCGTGGGAGACTGCCGCCGGTGAGTGTCCAGACTGGAGCAGAGCGGTTGGTTTAGGGCGTCTGTGATTTAGTGAATGTCTGCATAATCCTCATCCCTGAAAGGAGCTTGCAGTAGCCTTGGTGGTGGAGTATGGTCACCCTCTTGCTCACATGGTGGGAAGGTAGATATCTGACAAGAAGTGGCTGCACTCAGACGTAGAGATGGATGAACTGTCGGAATCTCAGAGGGACTTCCTGAGAGTAAGGATTATGTTCAAAGGGCACTTCCTGAGGGTAAGGATTACGTCTGTGTTGTAGGGTTACTCTTTTCTGTGCTCTGTGGATTCTCTGGATATATGATGAGTTGCCATGAGATAGTAATATACCTTTTGCTCTTTTACTTGGTCTTTACTGTAACCCATATGGAACAATAAACAAAGCAAGGAAATAATGGTAAATAATATAACCTCAGATTTATTGGGATCTTGTGCTGTGCCAAGGGTTATGCTGAACAGTTTACGTGTATTGTCTTACTTATTTTTCACAGCAATCTTAGAAGTGCTTGTATTATCTTCTTTTTATATGTGGAACAGAAAGGCTCAGTAATTTTCCCAAGCACATACGGTTGGTAAGAAAGCAAGCCGGCAGTCAAACTGAGGCATGTAGGTAACAACGGTCAGGTCTAGAAACCCTAGTGTCCTAATCCAGTTTGGGACATGAATCCAAAGTATCTGGGTGGATGGTCTCCTTATAAGTGCAGGTGGGGAGCTCATCTCTTACTGTGAGCATTACCAGTCTACTACTGACCCCAGTCTCAGACACAGCTTCTGCTTTGATACTTGGATTTGAAATCTTCACATCTGTCACTCTATAGCTTTTCAAAGGATGGGCTATATGGTCTGAACTAAACCTGCAATAAAGATATGCAGCCACTAGGTGGCAATAGATGTGTCCCAAATTCAAACTAGCAGATGTGCTGTTGAAACCAAATTGGTTTTCCATTCATTCTTTAATTTTCTTAAATTTATTAAATCAGAAATCACATACTTGCCTTTAAGGTAATAAGAGTTAAGTCATTTGAGACTCTGATAAAAGTTAAGGACATTTGCCTCCCCCGAATATATACATATGAATATATATATCCATCCAACATTTTGCATAGGATTTAAGGGGATTCATAGACCCTTCTGAAGTTAAAAATCCCTGATTTAAAAGTAAGGATGAGAGATCCACCTTTTCAAAAAGTCTAAGATGCATTTTTAGCCTGAATATCATAGATGTTTAAAATGTAAGCAATAGAAGAAGTGGGCAAAAACCCTGAGACCAGTAGTTGTCTCCCTCACTGCATAGTAGAATCACCTGGGGAAGCTCTTAAAAATGCTGATGATGCTGGTGCCTGGGCCTCGCAAATTAACCAGAATTTCTAGGGATGCCGCTGGCAGCAGTATTTTTAAAGATCACTTGAAAGTGATTCTAACATGCAAGACAGAATAAAGAACCACTCGTCCAGATGGATTCCTTTATTTTATGAAGGAAGACACTGAAAGGTTTTGCCAGTAGTTCTCAAACTCGGCTGCACATTGGAATCACCTGGGGAGCTTTAAAAATTAAGGGTACCTGGGCCCCACCCCCAGAGATCATAGTTTAACTGATGTGGGGGCGTGGCCTGAGCAGGAGGTGATTTTAATATGGAGCAGAGTTTGGGAATCACTGGGCTGTGGAAATTGCAGAAAGGTGCCATTCTAACCAATGTTTTGAAGTCAGGATCCTCTAGAACGTTGTCTGTAATTCTGGAACTTCAGGTCACTCTGGTACCCAAAGTACCCCTGAGAGCTTACCTTCATCCCTCTCTCTTCCAATTTTCTCTGTCTTATTCACAGAACAGCTGGTTCCTAGCCACTGAGTCCAGACTGATGAAGTAGATGGTCTAGATTTGCCCTTAAATGCCTTTCACAGGGAGGGAAGATTTGTCATTTCTTCTGGTTCCTATATACATCCTCTCCTCTGTTAATCTGAGAAGAGAAGCTTGAAGTTAAATGATTCACTCCTGTGTTTTGAGAAATCCCTCCTATGTATTTCTCAAATTGGAACTCTTTACTTGGCTTTTAGAGATGGGAATTGTTCCCTGGCCCAGAAAGCATTCTCAGTGGTGATGTTTATATTTAAAAGCAATTTCATAACTATCTGCAACATCTACAGCTTGTAATGGACACAGCTGCTTTTCTGAATAGCTGATCCTTTGCCACAGGAGACTGCATTTTAAGCAGAAGTCTAAACAGAACTTTGTATAGGTGTTCAAAGTGGTGATTTACTGTGATTTTTGCCACTGGCCAAATCCACAGATCACCGATCATAGGAGGATGGTGGCAAGAGTCTTGTAGAGGGATCTTGAGGACAGAAATCCCAGGAGGCATCATAGCATATGAGTAGTTTGCTACTCAAAATACTGTCCAAGGACCAGCCACATCAGCCGTTTGTGAGAAATGCAGAATCTCAGGCTCCATCTCACCCGATGAAGGAGAACCTGCATTTTCATGAGATCAAGTAAAATTTGAGAAGCCCTGGAAAAACATGGGCTCTGACATATGCATCTCAGTTTGTTTTCTGACCCCGTCACATGCTATGTATGTGACCTGGACAAGTTTCTTTGTCTTTCTAAGTTTCCTCATCTGCCCTTGAGACTAAAAGTACCTGCTGTGTGGAGTTGTTTAATAAGTTAAACCAAGGAGAGCACTTAAAATAGGTCCTTAATGTAACAAACCTCAATTTTAGCCATGGCTGGGTTATGGAGTTTTGCCCAACTCACGGCAAACAAATCAAATTAGTGAGAGAAATAAAGGCACTGGTATCCTTAGACTAGGCAGGGTCCATGAGGTCGTGTCTGGGATGGAAGCCCCTGGCCCCAAGCCTTCTGTGCTTGGCCCCTGCCTGCGGCACATCCTCTGAGGATGAAAGGGCTTGTAGGGCTTTATGGGGCTCTTGCAAGTCAAAAGCATACCAAACCGAAACCAAACAAACAAACAAAAAAATATATTTTTTGTTTGGTTTATGGAACGGAGTGAGGGTCCTGTCTTAATAAAAACAATGGTACCATGAGTATGTGGTACCCACTATGTGCTGAGTAGTCTGTTAGGTACTTTATTTACAATACACAGTGGATCCTGTAGCATTTCTTAGGTATAGGATCTCCTGTTTCCACATTAGCAGAAAATTCCTCTTTCCTTCTATAAGAGTCCTTTACCCTAACCTAACTCTTTCAGAAATCCCTTTCCAACTTTAAAAGGAGCCTCAATACTGGACATTTACTTTGGACCCAGAAAATCAGTGAAGCCCATTTCCATCTCCCACCCCGCAAATCTGGCTGCCTCTAGACCCTCACTACTCAAAGTGTGGCCTATGGACCAGTAGCGACTGCATGCCATGAGAGCTGGTTAGAAATGCAGACTCTTGGGCCCTTCCCCAGACCTATTGATTCAGAATCTGCATTTTAACAAGATCTTTAGGTGATCTGTACACACATCAAGGTTGAAGCAGATCCCTTTAGCACAGCGAGCCTCAGCCCTGACTGCGCATTGGAATGACGTAGGATATTCTGAAAATACTAATGCCTGGCCCTTGTCCCAAAGATTCTGATTTAATTGGTCTGGGCTAGAACCTAGGCATTAGCATTTTTCAAAAACTTCCCACACGGTTCCATTGTTCAGCAAACTGAGAACCAGAGCTAGAGGGAGATTATCAAATAAGGCAGACATCCTCGAGGACTGTGGAGTTTGAGTTCACATCAAGACTAGTTCACATCAAGACTTGAGTTCACATCAAGATAGAGCTTGGCTGGTCCTTCTTACTGGGCTGCAGGGTTAAGTCCTCTCCATGGCAGGTGGGCAGGATGGAGCAGAGGGTCTGGGCTCATCTGAGAGAGGGATGGGGTCAGTCTGCAACTATGAATGGGGACACCTGGGCAGAAGCAGGCACAAGCAGACATATGGTTGGCCCTCCATCCACGGATTCAACCACCCTGGATCCTTTACTATGTTTACCGCCCGCAGTTGGTTGAATCCTCGGATGTGGAATCTGCAGATACAGAGGGCTAACTGTAAGACTTGCGCATCCGTGGAATTTGCTATCCGTGGCAGTTCCTAGAACCAACCCGGTGGATACCAAGTGCCGACTATCAGAATTGGTTAGCAGGCCAAGCAGAGCCAGGCATCAGGAAACGTATCACGTCTGCAGTTGCAGGTCCCCTGAGCCCAGGACCTCAGAGGCTCGCGGTGGGCTTCATAGATGGGAAGGAGTGGGGACCTCGCGTGTTCACCTGGCCTGACTCACTCCTAAAGAGCCTGTCTTGGGGCAGCTGGGGGGAGAGTGGTGTACCCATCCCTTGCTGTAGCAATGACTTCGTGTATTAAGTTTCCAGAGCCTTGATATCCAACTTCCCATGATCAAGAGTGGCGTCTGCTGGAGGAAGTAAGTACTTATGCCCCAGCTACACACCACTGTGAGTTGTGTACCCGGGCCGTCAGTCATCTGCCTGCTGTCAAAGCCGCGTGCGTTAACAGCAGACCGAGGGAGCCAAGGGGCACGATTCCAAGCTTCGCGGAGACCAAGAATGAAGGCTGGACAGTTGACGGAGGGGCTCTCAGTCACGGCGCTGCATGGCCCGGCCCCTCACTGCTCTGTTGAGCTCAGCTCCTATTACCTTCTGCCTTTCTCTCTGGGATCCAGACGCCAGACCCTCCTCACGGCGCGCGTGTTGTCGCCTCGGGGTATTTCCCCTTCTGTTTTGTGGCCGGAAACTTTCCAGCACCAGATATTTGTGCTATGAAAGTTGATGCTCAGGTGGTACCACCTTTCCTAACCTCCTCATCTGCTCC